AAGTAAGACATATTGATGATGTATCAGAAGATGAATGGAGAAGAAAAATGCCTCCTGTAAAAGAGAGACAAAGTAAGCCAGCAAAGAGAATTTTTTCCTTTGTCTCAGATTTTAAAGATCTAATTAATTCATCTTCAGAATCAGAATTGAGAAAAAATGCTCCTCCCTTCAAGTCAACTACAATGGCAAGTCCATCTAGCGCTTCCACAAAGCTTTTTGGACCTTGTGAAGATTCTGCACACTTTGAGAAGTCTGAACAGGTTCGGGTTGTTACATCTGAGGATCAGCAGGCAAAAAATGTTTTGTCATCTGACTTGCAGTGTTTTAAGGCAGAGATTAGCAAGGATGAGCCCCTTTTTTGTCAGACTCCAGAACACTCATCATTAAAACCAGCTTCAAAAAATGTTGCAGTTTCACCTTCTTCCACCACAACCAGATTAATGACTTTGGTTACTGATGGTTCAGTAAATGTTGAGTCAACAGTGTCCTCTGTGCTATCTAAGCAACCTAAGTTGACACGACAACGTACACAGTTTTCCACTGCAAATTTTCAAACAACTGTCAAGTACAGCCAGGCGGATATGCTACCGAGTGAACAAGACAGTCTTCATTCAAGCCCGGATAATAGTTTCTGCAAGCATGATGCTTCTATAAAGCTTACCCCAAAGTCAAATGCATCACAGGAAAGATCTTCAGCTAAATCCCAGGTCGGTTTCTTAAGTTTTTTTAAATCGGCAGTAGGGATGGAAGAGCCCAATCTAAATCCTCCAAACTCTTCAGAAACCACAGAAAAGTCTGCTGAGAGTGCAAAATTTAATAAGGAGAGCACAGGTTTTCCAAACATTTCTGGATCTATTGGCAATATGTTCAATGCAGGGCATCTACCATGTCAGCAGCGACCTTCAGAAACACCGCAGTCACAGCTAAAGAAAACTGCAGAACAACAACAGGAAGGATTCATTGGAAAAAGTGGTACAAATAAAAACCTAGAGTGTGCTCAACAAGAAGCTCTACAAAATTTACAGCATAAAGGACTTCATCAGCAGACTTTATACAAGTCTGGGGAAGATGCTGTTGAGGGCATTGCTGCACACCAACCTAACCAAACTCAGGAACCAGGAAAGAGGTCTGAGGTATTTCCACCAGACTCCAGTGTTGGTTCTCTTTTAAGCCAGACAAAGACAATAAGACAGGTTGAACCAGAGCCTCATCCTCATCCTAAGCAGTCTGGTGGTTTATTTGGATTGTCTATGAGTAATTTTCTTTCTGGGTCTGCACCTAATAAAGATGAACCTCAAGGTAAAAGGTTATCATCAATGTTTGGTGTATCTGACTCTCAGCAGAATCAGACAGAGGCTAGATCACTTCTTAGTGGATTTTTTTCTGGAGCTTCTTCAAATAGTGGTTCTACTAGTAAAGGCATATTTTCATTGTTTGCTGGATCTGGTCCACAACCTGCCCCAACTTCATCTACACCTGACACATCTTTGTCAGGTTCTGCTGCACCTAAAGACTCACCGGGCAAGAGTTTATTTTCAATGTTTTCTGGACCTAGTGCCCAGCAGGCTTCACCTCAAACTGGATCAATTCCTGAAGCAACTTCTGTTGGAACAGGAGGCTTGACAGTGTTCTCAGAACCTGTTACTCAGTCTGTCTCCACACAGGATGTATTATCTCCTGAATCTATTCCATCGGAAACAACTGCATGCAAAGAAAAATCCATAAATGAAAACATGTTACTGGATGCCAACACATTCAGCACCCAGCCTTCTATAAACCAGAAAGAGTTCATCACGGAAGAGGCCTCCCTAAAAGATGCTTTTCTGGATGAGACACCCCATCTAACTTCAGTATCCACATCTAAAGAATCAAGTGTCCAACCACCTCCTTCCCAGACTGGGTCACGTTTTGCTGGAATTCTTCCTGGATCAACTCTGCCTAAAGATATACCAGGCAAAGGGTTACTCTCCATGTTCAGTGGACCCATGTCACAGAATATTCATAACCAAAACAACTCTACAGCTAAAGACACACAAGGCAAAGGACTTTTTTCTTTATTCAATAGACCTAGTGTACAAGCTTCTGCCCAAAGTGGATTACTTTTGCAAAATATTCTCCCTAAAGCTTCTGAGACTAAGGAGCCAATGGGAAAGAGTTTGTTTTCTATGTTTACTGGCCCTGATTCTAGTCAGACAGAAAGATTATCTAAACCACCTGAACCAGAAGGACTTCTTAGGCTTCCCTCACTCTTCTCTCTTCTTGGTGCCCCGGAGGACAATAAGCCTAAAGCTGGCGATTCTAGTGTCCTTAACACGTCTGTTATTAATGAAAAGAACCAAGATGCAAGTGGTAAGCTCCAGGAGGAACTGGGCACACAAAATAACAGCCTGCGAAGTGGCACAGTCTCCAGTGCATCTGATGTGTACTCATTTGCTACTGCTAAGATAGAAACAGAACAGGGGGATGAAGTGGTTACTTTGTCACAAGCTCCATTTCAACATGACAATTTGTCTCCGCTTAAGGAGCCGCGTTCTGATGTTTCCAGTGACAAAGTTGAAATTGATGAAGAAACAGCTTTAAGCACTGAAGCTGACATTTTTGCTTCATCTGGAAATGGATGTTCCACAGTAATTGACCAACATATTGTAGAAGAGACAAAGCCATCAGAGAAACAAAAACCTTCTGAGTCAGCTAATTTATCTGGCTTTGTGTCCAAGGTTTTCTCAGCAGCAATGGCTCCATCTATTCCTACGAGTAGTTTTTTCCCATCTCCACAGTCTTCATTTTTTAAATCTTCCATTCCTACCAAATCTCAGTGTCAGCAGAAAAGTTCCTTCTTTAATCTACCAAATAGCCTTCCAATGGAATCATTGAAAAGTGATCTACTTTGCATTTTCAGAACAGCCGAACCACCTCAAAATGTGAAAAATATATTCGAGGTTCCAGTTATACCTTCAGCCGATGAAAAAGACATTTTTGTTGCATCTAGTACTACAGATTCAAGCATATCCCAAGTAGACAATCAGGGAAAAAATTGTGTGAAACTAGCTGTCAATGTTTCAACAGAAATGGATTCTGGAAAGTCCATTGATAATTGTGATCAATTAACTGTAGATAAAAATATATCACTTACAGGAACTGCACCTGAAGGTTGTCCATCTACTGAAGTCCCTGGAATTGAGAAAGCTAGTTGTCATGAAACGGAATCTGTATACGATGAACCAGTTGTCATTATAGAGGATTCACTGGGAAAGGGGATGGAAGTTGAATCAGTTGAGAAAAGCCAGAAGCTTCCTCTAGCAGACACACAGAGGACAAATACAGATCCACCACCTACAAAGTCCATGTTCGATATGCCCAGCTTATCTGCAAAATTTGGCTTCATGTCTGGCAGCAATGATTCTGGGAAATATATCGGTTCTTTCTTTTCATCTCCTCCTTCTGTTCCCAAAGGCCTGCCTCAGATGCCGCAGGTTGAAGTTGGTGGCCTTCTTTCTGGGTTCAGAGCTTTTTCTGCTGGACTTTTTCAGGAAGAAAAACCTGAGGGATTTTCAGTTAGTTTGAAAGGATTTGGTTTCTCAGGACAGAAAGACACACCGGACCCTTCTAAGCCACAGTCTGTCTCAGTCATCACGACTCAACCCAAAGCACACAATGAGAAACTTGCTGCAGCAGACACCCTAAGCAAAACTGATTCTAATGACCTCATTGTGGAGGTACGACAACCTGGCAGTGATAGAAGTATGGATATTAACCTGCGTGATGAAACCCAAGAAGAAGTTAAAACCTTAGACAATATTGAAATCCCTAAGCAAGGTCCTACAGGTGCTGCAGACTTCCCACAGGTACTAATTTCCTCACCTGTGCTAGAAGAGTTTTTTTCTGACAACATAAATGAGGTGGAGACCCTCTTTGAACCCATACCCTCTACAGAACTCAAATCAGGTGTCTTTCAAGATACCCACTTGAAGATGGATCACTTGAGTATAAAAAGGCTAGTACTTGCATAATAAATGGTCATCAAAGCACCATTTATGATGCACTCATGTTAACTTTTAGAAGTTATCCTTTTTGAAACAGTGCAACCCTAGTCCCATAGATGTTGTCCTTGTCTGTCTGTGTGTTTGTGTTTCTCTACCCTTATTAATTGTGTGGCTTATTTACTGTAATACTCTGTTTATATTTTTTAAAATAATTGTGACTGAGTCTAATTTACTGTTTATCAGTCATTTACAAATTAGATTGTAGATTTGAATGCTGTTAGCTTTTTCACTTCAAGTTGCTCATAATAAACACACGTACCCAAAATAAGTCCTTTAAAATATTTGAGCCCAAGCAGTATATATGAAAAATTACTAAAATAAAATATGGTTTAATCTAAAGGAGACACTTCAAATTATTTGTCACATAAATAGGGCATGTGGAATCTCTGTATCAGTCAGTTAAGTACAATTATCCAGATACAGGTAATCTGCGTAGTAATAGAACCAGTGGGTTATAAGTTATGGTGTATGATGGGATTCCACATTCACTGCAGTGTCAAGCTCTGCATTTTGTACATTATCAGTGTCTCTGCAAAAATAATCAACCAATCAGGTATATAAATTTTCTTTTTGTTTTTAAACCCTTTTAAATTAACAAATGATAGTCCTCTATATACTAGACCTTTATTAAGACATAATACAATTGCTGTTGTACTAGCAATGCATTTTAATTACTATATACATTATACATTATAATTAGTCAATTTTAAATGTACTGAAGCTCAGTTTGTGAAAAAGGTCCTGGGTAGCAATCTTGGAGACTGCAGTTATTGATACTGCCTTAGAGGATGCCGTCTTGCTAAAATTGCTGTCTGGTTCTTTAATGTGTTCCTGGTAGGACTCAGTTTCTTGCCTTTTGACCTGACGTCTGGGGTAAGTGTTGTGTTATTGTGTGTCTGCCCTGGGGGCTGCCCATGATCTTGCTCTCATGTGTGCCATGTCTCCCTGTCACAAAAGCCCTATGGACAGCAGCCACGCTGGCTCCTCAGGAGATCTCAGCCAGGTCAGTTCTCAGCTCAGCGAGATGGGTCAGGACAGCGTGCCGCTTTCGGAAACAGAGGAGCGCCGGGAACTGGACTCTCGGCACTGCTACCACAGCACAGCTAGCTACCGGCCTGCCAACAGCCACACTTCCTGGGGGGACACGGAGGAGATCAGGACCAGGAAAAGCGAGAATGGCATTCTGCCAAAAGACAGAGCTTCCCCAGAGCAGATGCCAACAACCTTGGAGAAGAAGCCTGATGATCCAGTTGCAAGGTGTGGAGATCTGGGTTAGAAATCAAAGTTCCATGATTAAAGTCAATCTCTAAATTTGTGTTCTGAACATATATTTGACATTTCAGGTTTTAAAAACAGAAAAACTCAGCTCACGATTCCAGTGCCCATTTGAGTTCTGAACTGTAACTTATCTTTTCTCTGATTCAGTTTTCTGGCCGATGGGCCCCTACCGTTCTCTCCATCAAGGCTACGCTGGCTGAGGGCCATCAACAAAGTCCGTGTTCAGCTTCAGGAGGTAAGGAACATCACTTCTTCCTCATCTTTTTTTTCTTCTTTCCTTTCTGGGTTGGTTGAGATTCATGTAAATTTTGCCAGAGCTTCTAGAGCTTAATTCATAAACCGGGATCCATAACGGTAAGAAAGGCACTGATTGAATTGTAACAATTATTCAGATTATTGTTTCAAACCTGGCTGTCTTGCTTACTGGATTTGGCTAAAATGAAATAAAGTGTTTAGCAATTTAGCATTTATTTGATTTATTCATTCTTAGAAAAATGTTGTCGCATGTTTATGTTTGTCAGTTTTTAACATGAAGAGTGTGTATATATACCCAGAAGACAGTAAGTCTCCGAAACAGTAAGGCTTGTGGGATGCTTGCAGTCAGCTGTACTGAGTACCTACTGTGAGTGGTCTGAAGAGAGAACAACCTAATCCTCCAACAGCGTGTTGGGTGGCCAGGACTCGATGATGTGGGGTGTGAACGAAGACTGTCCCATATGTTAAAAACCAATAGGAGGAGGATTCCATTTGGATTGCATTTTTGGAAAATGGTGGCACTTATTGGTGAAGGGTTTCTGGAAGACTCCTGTTTAATTTAACGTAAGTCTTTGGCTGTTAATTTGTGTGTACTTCTCAGTAAATGATTCTTCTGTCATCTTTGGCTGTTGTACGCAAAACACTTCATTGTATGGTGATCACGTTATTGGCTTTCACATTTCCAGGCGATCCATCCAGTAATTCTAGAAATTTTATTGATTGAGGGGTGTGGGAGGAGTAAAGATTAGATGAGGGAGGGGGATGACAGGGCTGTCCGGGGAATACATTGTTGGTTTTCAAACAGCATCTCTTTTTACTATTCCAGCTTTGCAGCAGAAATGCCATTATAAAGATGAACCTACCCCTTCATTATTTGCTTAACTACAGTTGAACGTCCAAATTAGATAACAAGACATGAACACATATCACTTTCATTTTGCTGACTACAGCTTGTCATCTGGCTTTTCTGTGCTAGTTCTGTGTAATTTTGATGTCTTAATTGTCTAAGTGACCAAACTGAATGGAAAATTGGCAAACATCCAACGTGAAAGTGTGAATTGGTTGGCAATGCTGGTACTAATTTAATAGTTTTTCCCTCTTTTTCCTGTAAACTTTGAAATTTCTCTTTGCCCTTAGCTGTTTGTGTGCTGATGTTTCTGCAGGAATGCTGTGATACGTGCTGATCCATCTTACCCTTGGGTGGTAGCAGACTTTGATGTCGGTCATAAGTTTGTAGAAATGATTTGTGTATTAGCATGTGTTTGGCTGTTGGAAGTACCGGGGGGGCAACCGGTTTCTCGTGGTACATCGGGCGTAATATCCTGGTGGCTCACAGAAGTACAAATTCCTCACAGCTCCAGACAGCAGCAGCAAAGTATAAAAAGTCATTCAGAAGTATAAACGGACCAGCCATTTTGAAGTGTCCATGTTTTCTTTTATGGCATTGTCATGTTTAGATCTTCATTGTTTCTAAAGCATAATACATACCCATACGTGCCATTAATGCATTCCAGGTGTAAGATAAGATGAGAAGAAGCTGGCTGAAGGCACTTGGTTATTATGGGAATTTTGGATATCATATAGCAACATCCCCCACTAACAATTTTTCGTCCTAGAAACGTTTACTGAATGTTACAATTAAGGTATGGAAACATTCAAAGTGTCCATTTTTCCAGGTGTTCCCAGAACATTGTCCCACTACTGCAAAAACAGCTACTACTACAACTAAGGTTAATAATATAAAAGCTAACGAGGGGCATGGTAGGGCAGAGGGTAACACTGTCGATTTACACCTCAAAGGTCGTGGGTTAAGGGCTGGCAAGCATGTTCTCAGTATACTCATATACCACTTTTATAAAATAATATTTTATTATAAAACAATACTTTTCAACATTAATTGCACTAAAAGGGTGCTGAGGTAATAATGTTACTGTTCTGACATTGACAGAACTTTTGGTAACTTGAAAATTAACAATACAGTAGGAAAGTTCTCTGCCGGCTTTGAGAGGACCTTCACATAACATTGGCTAAAGTTCTGGGAACATTTCACGTTAGATGGGTTAGCAGAAAGCTGCCTGTTTCAAGCTAACATTTACTTAACAAATGACATTTTGTCATAAAGACTTTCTAATCGTTTAATATTCTTAGGTATTTCTTGAGGTTGCGTGATAGGATATTAAATGTTTTAAAATGCCCTTTAATGAAATGATTTTTGTACATATAAATGTTAATATTATTTTTCATACATTTATCCTCGAATTTTAGTAATATATAACATGACATCATGACAAAGGACAATGAGAAGTCATTGAAATTAAGTGAATTAAATACCTGACTGAAGACCTTCCTAAGTAACAGGATGGGAAGTGGGATTTCTGGTGCAGGAAAACAGAGCAGAAACCATGGAGAAGAATGTGGGATAACCTAAGGCTTCATAAGGAATGACATCCCTCCTTCTCTGCACCTCCTACAGCATAATATTCATATATTACTAGATCAGGTCAGCTAGCATATTGTGGTGCCAGCAGGGCTTATGTCAGCGTTCATTACCTTTAAACTCATCAATTAAGCCAATTCAGTGGTCATGCACTGATCATGTTGACTAAAGAGCACTTAATGTTCCCTAATTAACGTGGAAGTAAATTGTAGCTTGTTGCTATTCTGCCCTTATGTCCTGTGTGTCCTGCATCCTTTTTGAAAACAGCAGAGGAAAAGATAAGCAGTAAACCGGGAACAGCAGTCACCTGTTACCAGTGTGAATATAGGTAGATGCTGTAGGGCAGGGGTCTCCAACTCCGGTCCTGGAGAGCTACTATCCAGTAGATTTTCAATCCTACTTGGCTTCTGGTATTTACCTGTGAACAGGTGTGGCTCATTAGAAGCCAGGTAGGATAGAAAACCGACTGGATAGTCGCTCTCCAGGACCGGAGTTGGAGACCCCTGCTGTAGGGTGTCCTGTTTCGGTCTAATCACGCTGACTGTTCCATGGTCCATCAGTTCATTGTTGTCAGGTTCATAAGGGGAACTGTTCACAAAAGCAAACCACTGAAAATAAGTCACTTTGTTTAGTCACTTAAAAACACGGAACAGGAAAAGGGCATTGCTTATTATTTTTGTCATGCTAAGAGCAGCTTGTGGTCTTTATGGTCTTTAAGTTGACCTTTAGTTTGACTAGCTAAGGGCCTTCAGGATTACTAGAGACTCCACCATAAACTGTTGAGACTGCTGAGGTCAGGGAGACACCTCTGGAGCCAAACGGTCCAGACCGAATGCTTCAGAAGTTTTTATCCACAACTTCTCAACAACAGCACATAAAATGGACAGGCAACACTGCACCCACACACGCACACTCACTCTCTCTCCTCTAATCTCTCCTTTACCCTTGCAAATTTGCACACAGCATATTAATCACAACACACAGCATATATATAATATGTTTTCAAAATATGTAGGATTATGTGTTTTGTGCTGACACCCAAGTCAGTGTTTCCTTTATTTCCTTTAAACAGCAGCATGTTCATAATGCAAAGCTGCACTTTCGGTCAGATGCTGAGCACTTTATCGCTGATTTCACACACTGTGAGGATTGCTGATAGGATGACCCTCTTTCGAACCCTTTCAGTGGTTCTGGATGTTGGTTTTTTTTTTCTTCCCGGCAGGCCTCAGTCGTACTTGGGGGTGTAATAATACTGCTGCTTCTAATGCTGCCTGCCGTCGCGGGGACCGAGATTAGAGGAAGCCTCTGACAGCGTAATAGCAGCCTCCCCTTGGGTGTTTGTGGCTCCTCTCATAACCACACACTTCTCTCTGTCGCTGTGTACTGCCGCCCCCAATAAATGCGGTCGTGCCACTTGTTGCCATTTGGAGTATTTAAGTACTTGCATTTTTTCCCTAAAAGTGTTACCTCCAACACACCATTAGGTTTCTCTTTGTGCTTCAAAATTTACGTTTTATTTGTGAATCTCTCCCTTTCCTTTCCATCAGTGAAGAAAGACTTCATTGCAGCTGTTCTTGCTTCTTTCACTCCATAATTTGGATGTTTGAGCATGCCTTTTGTGGCTCACCAGTTGCCCAAGAGCTGCCTAATTAACATCAATGTATGTTTAGTTCTGAAGAGATGTTTTCTGATGACACCCACACATAGACAAAACCATGTTGCATCAAGGTGTCTTTTTAACAGAATTTGAATGTTTATTGAATGTGGATCATTTTAAATTACGTCATTTGAAAATACATTTTAACCTGTAATGTTTGCAGGTCCTATGTTTTTGCAAATTACAAAGAAAGAATTAATATTAGGGCTGCATGATATATCATTGCAGCATCGTTATTGCGATGTGTGCACGCGCAATAATCACATCTCATTTGTCGCCCCTGCTTTGTGTCTGTTGATGGAACTCGCTACAAAGCCACCAACTTATTTGACAAACTTTGTTGGTACATAAGTTGCAGTTGGCAATAGGTTATTCCAGGTAATTTCATCTCCATTTTTGTTTTATAAATATCTGCGTATTACTCATGGAAATTTCACATTTTGCAATGTAATAGCCCTTAACAATATCAATATGCCCATCATTCACCTACTTATCCAGAACAGGTCTGTGGTTGTCAGCCTGGAGTCTGTACAAGGCAGAAGAATTCCTTGGAAGGGATTGCAGTAGAATGACAGTATTGTATTAAAGGACAGAAGGTCAGAATTGCTTGCATTTGACTAAGAAGATTTAGCATTCCATCAGATTGTGTATTTATTCAGTGTAATTTGGTGTTACACTTGGGAAATCTTCAATTGTTTTTTTTTCTTCATTTGTTTAGAATACCTCTGTACATTTTCCATTTGTACCCTGTATTCCAAGGCATAATTTTAGCAATATTATGAAAATATGACACATGTAGCAGGGTTGCCAACTCTCACACATCTGCTGTGATACTCACACTTTCAGATTCTTACGATCATGCAAGAAATTTTACGGTAAATCAAGA